TAGGGGTTCAAAACAAACAAAGTTACAATACACAATCTTCGCTTGATTTAAATCAACTTTAACTAGTTCATTTGTGCTAAATACTTTTCATTTTCTCTTGTTATACTTCTTATCTATTACAGCTTATCATATTTCTCTTGCAATTACAATTGTGTTTGTTGTGTACCTCTAGATTACTGATTGTGAAACGTTTAATAAATGCTTCATGTTATTACGTTCGTGTTTTACTTTATTATCAAGTTACGGTTTTTCTAAAAAAAAAATTACTGTAATTCATTTATCAGCATTGTCGGCAAATAGCAGGTGTTGAAAGAGATTGTCATGGTTTGTAGGAGCAATGAATAATATAAACGTAAAATTACCGCAATTATCCACACCTATTTCGTGTGTAGAATAAATTATTCTCGTGAAGTCCCATTAATCTTTAGGCGGACGAGACAAGTGGTTTGTTAGTCTGCGCCCCCTAGTGACACAGCGGCATGTCTGCGGACTTACAACGCTAGAAACCGGGTTTCGATACCCGTGGTGGGCAGCGCACAGATAGTCCATTGTGTAGGTTTGTGCTTATTTACAAACTAGTCAGTCTGCCCCGACTGTGATTCCACGAGTTCACGGCTTTGCATTCCGTTGCCACAAAAAAATAAATAAAAAATTAAGAAGCTTTCCGCAGTTTTGATCCGTGGGCTGCGTTATAAGAGGGACCATCAAATCACACTATTCGATTAGAGTAGATCAAGAGTTGGCGGTGGGTGCTGTCTAGCAGCTGCCTTCCCTTTAGACTATTTGGTCAAAATCAAGGACGATTATGCGCCAGATAGCCAATGTGTAGCTTCAGAAACAATCTAACTTTAGTAAATGAGCAAAATTATTTAATTAATCAAAGATTATGTCTGTTTGTGCCCACGTTACTGTTTCGTTCATAACCTAATTTCACTAACAATTTTCATTTTGTTCTATTTATTACTAATGTTCAATTTCGTTGATCTATTTAGTCGTTAAGAGATCTTTTTTAAATGTACTTGAGCTTTGTTTTACTATAGAGAAACTTTGATTTAAGACGCTTATTTCCAATCAACGAAGTAAGTATGAGATTAGATTTCGAATGAAATATACACCTTTAGTGATGCGATATTAATACAAAATTATGTTAGAAAAACAGATTGTATATAAAGTTGTTTTAAAAAAAAAATGTAATAGTTAGAATACGTCAACCGAGAGACCAGTGAAATATCCCATGGGCTCGAAGGGAGCCCTTAAGAAGGCAAAAATATATATTAAAAATTCTTGCCAATCCGTAGCCAACATTTAAAAAAAAAATGTAAACAGCAGTTGTTGCATAATTCGAGTTACCTTCGCAGAAAAAGAACGATCATTTAGAAAGTTGAAGCTGGTTAAATAATTATTATGCGTTCTACAAGACAGTCTTACAGATCAGGGAGGGCGCTCGACTCGCAATCTGCGGGTTCGAATCCCCGCCCCACCAAACATACTCGCCCTTTCAGCCGTGGGGGCGTTATAATGTGACGGTCAGTCCCACTATTCGTTGGTAAAAGAGTAGCCCAAGAGTTGTCAGTGGGTGGTGATGACTAGCTGCCTTCCCTCTAGTCTTACACTGCTAAATTAGGGACGGCTAGCGCAGATAGCCCTCGTGTAGCTTTGCGCGAAATTCAAAACCAAACAAACAGATCAGGGAACTTTGACACTATGGGTGATCATTTTGTCAAGCAGAAGGCCTGGAAAGTTAACCTTTAACTCGCCAATTAATTAGTTAATCAAAATTAATCATTCTGTGTGTTGTTGATCTCCTCTGGTCAACAGAACTGGCAAAAACAAAACATACAAGTTAAGCCTACTAGAGTGATTAAGCAGTTAAGAACTTATAGAATGACTCCTGTTTTTCAGTACTTAACGCTTATTTATATATATATAAAGGGCATTAAATCTGAAACCCCTTAGAGTTGTAAGGGATCATTTAAAAACATCCTTTTACCATCCTTGCTTGCATTCGTGGCTTTGACGGTTAAAACGAGATTTGCATATATCTATTTTATTTACAACACCATATATCTTGGAGCAGAGATGGTTGGTTTTACATAACACAACTTCATAGGTCTTTCAACAATTCTGTATAATAATGTATAATTACTGAACACAAACACATTAAAAAAATTGAGTCGACCAATGTGCTTACAAAAGGTTTAGGACACTTCGTTTTATATAAATGATTTTCCCAATGGGCGTCAGCGTTTAAGCTTTATTAAAGCGTTTCGGCAAAGTGAAAGATCATAATTCTTATATTCTTTTTAACCTCAGAAAAACTACTGAATACATTACGTTGTTTGTTGTTGTTGTTTTTAACAGCAGTTTCTCTACTTATTTTTTTTTTTTCTGACCACACATTTATGTAGTAGTTTTGTTTCAACTAAGAAAATCCTAATGATTTTAATATTTTGCGGTTTAATAGCAGTTGCAAGTACAAAACCAATAATAATCTAGTTTTACTACACTTAGTCACTAATCGGGTATCAAGGGAATACTAAAGGTCACTAGCTGTATTTAGATTATATAAAAACAATAATATGTATAACTGGAGATGAGGACATATTGGCCTAAAGTCCTGATGATCTCTATGACACAAGGGTCAGTTGTGACTATTGCTACAGAATCTTAAATATTACTATATTTCCGATCACAATTGAATTTTAAAAACAATAAGTTAGTAGTTGTTTAAGTGAAGCTTTAGGCAGGGTTGGTTTGAGAACTTTAATGGACTGCAACCGTCTGTTGCAGCCCATTAAAATCCTCAGTAAGCTAGTGGAATACATCATTATAAACACACTAAAAGACGGTATTTAATATATACATATTGTAATCTGTCTTGTTTCAACTTTTTGGTTCCATCTGTTGTCCTCATCACTGGAATTGTCATTTTGTTTGATTATCAAGGGATCACATGTTATAATTTTCTTCCACAATTGGTTGATTAGTATACTACAAAGTCGGGTGAATGTAGTACCGTATGTTTCGGCTTACTTTTCCACTATTTGGGTGGGATCATACCAATTCTTCCTTGTAGCCAATGAAATAAGCGTTCTGATCATGCTTACTTGAAGGTAACGAAAAATGTCACTTGGAAATGTAGACACTAAAGGAAGCTCGATTCCGGCCGAAACGTCGTACAGTCTTTTAAAAAAAAAATAGTGTGTTGCTTGAAACAATGTCTTACTTGTTGTTCAACATGTAAGACAACACTTTGTTTGAATCGATCTCATTACTTACTGAATACCATATTTCACTTTTCCATGAGTTAGAAAACATCTTTTACTCCAAATGCTCTTTCCTCCACAACTTAAATAACTGCCACTTCTAGTCACAGGCGTAGGAACCTGTTGGCTTAATCAGGCTATAGCTTGATGAAAATCTGGACTTTTTATGAGTATCTCTGTATTTGGCTTTATTAATACTATCAACCCCCCGCCCCCATTACCACTCACACACACATTGATTCTTACTCCTATATCTGTAGTTTGCTCTCGAGTCTTGGTCTATAGAAGCCCAGCCCTACGAACAACTTAAATTAAAAGTAAAGTCAAATGTGAGAACAGTAGCAATAGCAATGATGGTCAAGTTGTTCTAAGAAAAAGAAGTCCCTTTGGAATTTTCTTTAATTAAAAAACAACAATAACATTAGAAAGATTGTTGGGTGAAGTAACTGAAGCTAATAACTTTTGAAGTTAACAAACTGAGTCCTCAGTACAGTTAAGCATCTTATGGAAGTAACAATATGAATATATAGACCATCTGTTATTGAAGTTATAATATGGATATATAGCCTATCTGTTATTGAAGTTACAGTATGGCTATATATATATATATATATATATATATATCTGTTATTGAAGTTACAGTATGGATATATATATATATATACCATCTGTTATTGAAGTTACAATATG